CCACCATATGGTGAACAGTCGGACTGTCCGACACTCCCAACACCCGTCATCACTGGTCAGCCGGACTGTCAGGACTCCCAACACCCCCGGTCTCCAAGAGCTTGTGGTACTGTCTGTGGCGCACCCCTTCTCCCAAAACCCCCGAGTCTTCGTATTCTTCCTTAGTTTAAACAAACATCGAGAAGAGCATTGCCTTCAGTAGTCTGAGTGATACGGGCAGTAGTGCTGACCAGATATAGACCACAACTTTGATTGCCTTCAATCCATACCAAACTAACTGAAGAACGTTTCTTAGGATCTGTAAGACCAGTATATTGTGAGCAAAGACCAGGACTAACGCTATCCATAAGAAGAGTCCCACAATGTGTTCAACTCCTATGATATCTGCGATTAAGATCTTAATTGCTTTGAAGACCACTTGAAGTGTCCGTATTGTCACTGATAGCAGACATAGTCTTCCGCTTAACGTATCGATCACTTGAGATGAAAACCATTTTGTAATGATTGCAATCATTACTAGTGTTTGGATGAATAGGATTGCAAACCATCGAAGAATTTGAATCACATTTGAGACAATTCCACACATTTTGTCGTTTTGGAGATTTGAATGCTTTGCAAAATTTGAAAATTTTATCGTGAAAATTGTATTTTTAAAGTCAGTCCAAATATAATACTATTGAACTATTGAATAATAATAATAATAAAAACATTTCAACTTTTAATAGTATTGTTATGTTTAAAAAACTTTCAAATAACTCATTTAGTTTTATCTAAAGGATTGTGTTATTTATATCTTATGATTTTATTAGTTTCTACATTATATTTATTTTATCCATGTTATAGAATATTTTCGTGACAACAATTAGTGATATTTATAAGTAAATAATTCATGTTTAATTTGGTATAATTTATACTAATAATTAATAATCTCTTGGTTTACGAGAAATAATTTTATTTAAAAAATATTAAATTTAAAATATTGTTGATGATATTATTATAATATTATCAATACAATATGATAAGTGATAAATAGACTTAACATAAAGTTAAAAGGAGGGTAAAAATGTTTTGATGAATTTTTAAAAATACCCAAGCTAGTGTTCACAAATTACATAACGTGAATGTTGTTTGTATTAATTAAAATAAGGTTTAAATTTCGGGTTTAATTATTACGTATTTGTGAACACTAGCTTGCATATTTTTAAAAATACAACAATTAATGTATATTTTTACCCTCCTTTTAAGTAAGTCTAGTGATAATTTATAAAACATAAACAAATTAAAATTTATAATAATAACAGAAGCAATAAAATTTATAATTATTAAATAAATCACTTGAGACTGATTTTATGGCAATTGTGCGGAAACCGAGCCATAGATGCCATGCTTGGGAGTCATTGTCGCTGTTTTGTAAACAATTTCTAAATCCCGATCTCTCGCAGTGTTTTCAGTGGTATTTAATCGGAATTTCAACAACAGGTTTGAAAGGATTAGTTTCAATACGATTCTGGCGTATGTTTTGCCGATACAATCGCGTCCTCCCCTTCCGAATGGCTGCCATTTCACAGAATATTCTCCATTAGTTCCCATATTGACACGATTTCCTGACCTATCTGTAAATCTATAAGCATTAAAATGATTGGCATTCGGGTAGTTGTTGTCATCTCTATGGATCTGATATAATGCCACTTGAATTTGAATGCCTTTTGGAATCGTGTAGTGTTTGCCATCACTCGGGTCTTCGTATACAAAATCTTGAGTTGGATTACATCTAAATTTAAAGCAATTAAATAAATGAACTTAAAATTAAACTAAATTAACATTTATATAACAAAATATTGTGAATACCTGGAAATAAATGTGGTTTGCGGCGGATATAGTCTTAGAGTTTCATTGATCACAGAATCCATAACCGGAAGATTATTCTCCACACTATAGTCGAGATCATTATTTTGGACAAATTCTTCCACTTCTTTGGCCAACTGTTGAGTGATATGATTGTTGTTGAGAAGAATATGTGTTATGAAAGCCAGACTCGCAGACATGGTTTCAAAGGCCGCCTCATTGAACAAAATAGTTTGAGCGATACTCGTCGGACAAACCCTTGTCGATCATTATCTGCAACAGATCTTTGCCGTCGTCGGCGACTCTTTGACCAGATTTTCTCATCATTAGAGTTGTCTCGCAGTCCGTCCACAGAAGCGATGTTGACGTCAATCTTATGGTTTCCTTAACGTATTCAATGAGTTTCCGAAAGCCTTGAATTATGTAATAAAACTCTGGAAAACAAAGCAATAATTTAACCAAAAAATTGTTGGCTGTTTTGACAAACTCTTGCTTAACAGCGATCAGAAATCTGTCGTTTCGATTGTACTGAACATCAGTGTCCACACCGAAAGCCGTGCGACCGATGATGTCTAGTGTCAGGCGTTGATAATACTTATAAAAGTCTATCTCAAAGCTTTCCTTATCAGATAACTTGTCAATGAATTTGTCAATCTTCTGCTGAACTAAAGGCACCATTTGTCGCAATTGAGTGGTCGTGAAGCCGGTGTTTAACTTCTTTCGCAATTCTCGCCATTCATTGACCGGCAAATTGCCCAACATTTTGCACCGCTTAGAGCTCGGGTTAATACCTCCCGGCACGAGTCGGGGTCTGTCCTCGAAGTCACGCGAACGCTGTATCTCTTTGATGAGTCCCAAGTGTTTTGTAATAATCATGGGTTTTGAGCCCAAATAGTAGCCGACAATCGGTCCGTAACTTACCGTAAGACAAATATAATGTACAGAATTGTAAATAAGTAAAAATAATAATTCTTACCGATTAATAAGTTGAGAGTAAAATTCCACATTTGGTGTCCCGAAGAATGCCATCAAATTGCCGGTAATCAGATTGGGTTCGGGGCCGGGGATTCCCAATCTCTTAAACAAGGACATTTTCTCTCGACGCTTAAAGTACCAAGCAATAATGCCTGAAACAATTAGTACACAACTAATTGTCACTGTTATAAACATTTTTAATGTGTTGATTCTGTAAAGTTGACGTGTGATAACTTTTTGGAGTTGTGCCTAATTTTGTATTATATAAGGAGTTTATAAATAGTGTTCTGTTGGCCACACATAAGCATATGGATTGCCAAACATATTATGCAAGACATGTATATTTTAACTATTTTGTGGTCAAAGAGTTAGATATCATGGGAATAAATATTTTAATAAATTGCGTGATTATTGTGTCACTTAGTGAATATTGTATTACAATTATTGTATTATTAGTAAATAATTCTGCAATCTACAACTTTGCATAATTATTCTGCAAACCAATAAATATGATATTCTATTGGTATAGCATTTGTTCACTATAACGGTTATATCTAATAAAAATATAAAGTTACAATTACAATATATAAACAAATTACTTACCAAATTGTGCGACAAAATATATATGGGAAAATAATTATAGCTAAAATTGCTTTTTATAAATTCTGAAATTTATACAAAATTTTTCTAAAAGTTCTAGAAAGATTTGGATAAAAATAATAATATTTAAATCAATTAATAATGCAAAACATGTGTTAAAAATAATTGAAAGCTATGCATAACTTTCAATAACAAAGTATAGTTACAATAATTAACAATTTATATAATTGGCTAGGAACATTCTTGATTTTACGATAAAGATTTTAGTGATTGAATATAAAAAATACATACAAATAGCTTTACAATTGCTTTACATAAATTGAACATTTTAGTTTTACTAAATAAGACATATAATTGGCAAATGTATGAGCATTTATGCGACAAAAAATTTAATTGATATCTTTTTGATTGCATAAAATTTGGTAAAATTATTGCAATAATGAAATAAAAGTGTTGAGAATCTGGCGAATACTTATACAGTGTATATGAAATCAAGTTTCATTTATAAGAATGTATATTAAATATCAATTTTATGTGTTTTAATGACGAAAATCTGGTTTTAAGCATCAATTTCTATAAAGATGAATCATTTAGTTACAATATGTTACAAAAAAGGTAATTGTACATCAATTGGCGATTGCAATCACCGGTAGAAATTCATAATTAATTAATTTTGTTTAAAATTTTAGGTAAAATAAATCAAAAGTTATTTTATGTGTTAATTTAATATTTAATTTAAAACAACAATATTACAAGTTTACATTTTGCAATGAATAGGAATTTAACAATAATTTTTGTTGTGATTTTAAAATTTTGCAACAAATAAAAACTGAAAACAAAATTTTCAAACATATCACAAAATCATTCAAATCATCAAAACAACCAAATGTCTGGAATTGTCTAAAATGAAATTCTTCGATGGTTTGCAATCTTCTACTTCAGAACAGTAGTAATGATTGAATTGATTGCAAAATGGCTTTCATATCAAGCAAACGATACGTTAAACGGAAGACAGTAAAAGTGATGTGAAGTCTTCACCGCAGATATCACAGGAGTTGAACACATTGTGGGACTCCTCTTATGGGTTGCATTAGTCTTGGCGTTTGGATACAAAGCACTCGTCTTACAGATAGTAAGAAATGTTCTTCAGTTGGTTTGGTATGGATTGAAGGCAAGCAAAGTTGTGATCTATCTCTGGTCAGCACTCGTTCCGATATCACTCAAACTACTGAAGGCAGTCGTGGTCTCGACGTTCAACTAAACTAAAAAAAATAGAATGTCTATAGGTTATGGGAGAGGGGGTGCGCCACAGACAGTACCACAAGTTCTTAGAGACGGAGGGTGTTAGGAGTCCTGACAACAATGAAAAAAAGGGATCCACGAGTGATGACTTATATGAAAATTATAAGATATACAAATTGTTGGATCTAATATCTGCCCGAAGAATATGAATTAAAGTCCGAGGGTTTTTGGGAGAGGGGGTGCGCCATAAACAGTACCACAAGTTGTTGGAGACCGGGGGTGTTGGGAGTCCTGACAGTCCGGCTGACCAGTGATGACGGGTGTTGGGAGTGTCGGACAGTCCGACTGTTCACCATATGGTGGACAGGGGTGTTGGGAGTCCGCATAGT